CCTCCCACTCCCGCCCCCTCGCCTTCTCCCCTCCTGGGCTGGGGCTGCCCCTTCTGGGGCGGGGTGGGGGGACCTAGTCTGTGCTCAATTTCATGCCACTTAATTCACAAGTCTGCCCGTGAAAATGGCGACAAATCGGCCCCAACTGCCCAAATGTGCTGTCCCATCTCCCACGTCTCGCCTGCAGCACCCCCTCCCACGTCTGACAGCCCCTCACCCAGACTAGTCGGCCCCACATATGTCCCTCTTCACTCAGCCAGGCTCCATGACGGCCCGCCCGGCCCGGCACCCCTCAAGCGCGCAGTCGATGACTCGGGTACCGTTTGATTCTGTATTTTAATGCTATATTTCTTTTATTTTTAGAACAGTTGCTTTGTTGGAAAGGTAGCATATTCACATGACTCAAAAAGCATAAAGGGAGGGGGACATGTCTCCCCCCACCTTGCCTCAAGTCCTCACTCCTCCTGGCTTCCCACTCCTCAGCTCCCATCCCAAGACAACAGCATCCCTAAAGTTTTGGGTGTGCTTCCAGAGATGGTCCATGCAAGAGTCAGCAAGAATGTGTGATTTTTCCCGCCTTTTCTGTACAGGGTAGTGGGTGGTGAGCCGCATTCGCCAGTCTGCACATCCCAGGGACCAGAGCCCTCTCCTCCCACTCCCCTGCCCCAACACACACCCTCCAGGGCTAATAGAAGTTCTCCCTCTAACTCTGGAAGCCAGACAGACCAGAATGCAAGTTCTCCCTGCACCAACTACTTTCTGGGTGGCCTTGAAAAGTTCATTCTTGTGCCTCGCTCTCCAACTCAGTAAAATGGGAATATAACGGACACACACCTCACAAGACCATTGGGGGTGAGTGGGTAATAAAAGGAGGCAACGTGCCCAGAGGTGAAGTGTAACTGCTTTTTCTTTTCTCCTGCCCGTTCCATCCCCACCTCAAGTGGATGCCTACGTGTCCTCCAAGCCTAGGATTAATGACGTCTCTTGAAGTCCTCCTGCTCGTATCCCTACACTTTTCTGCTGAAGTAACCAAGTCTCCTCTGGGCATTTACAGTGCTTTGGAGCAGCCTCGAGGAGAATGTCCCTGTGGTGTAGTGTAGCCGTCTATATCGCTGCTTCCCTACCAAGGCTGTGAGCAATCTGAAGGTTTCCAATGAGTCAGGACACATGCTATTACGGTATAAATATTTACAGCCTTTCTGCTCCCCCTATGTTCACACAACTGGGCTGACCAAGGAGACAGGGACAGATAGAGTTGAAGCTCTGCCTGACGAAGAGCACAAAGTTATCTACGGCAACATCTGGATCGGAACAGACTCACTCTAATGGTGGAATGCAATGCTCTGCGCAGCAATCCCACCTGGGAGCGTTCCCTGTTCAAGTCTGGAGACCCTTCTGAGGGTCCTGGATACACTCTTGCCCATGATCTGGGGCTGAATGAGGCTGGGGAGGGATCAACATGTCAAAACCCTGCTGGGGGTGTTCTCGCTCTCATTTATGGAAGAAAGAAACAAACCTCAGGGTTAGAAAAGGAATAGAATCGATCCAGCCAATGAGTGGAGAAGGCCAGAGTGAACAGAGCTGGAGTTTTAGGCGAGATACAGCAAAGGGCCTGGAGGAGTGTAGTGAGCTCTGAGACTCGGGGGAAGAGGACCGAGGAGGATGTTGAGGGCTGTGCTGTCTGTTGTGTGGTGGGGTTTCCTTCCAGCCTTGCTGCTTCTTCAAGCGTTTGGGAAAGGCTTCATTGCAGATCAGAGCTTCGAGAGGTCTTTGGGATTTCTTTTGGATGTGACCCAGGAGGAGACTGGCCTGAGGTCTGATCAGGGAGCATTACACATCCTGAGCCCAGCTCAGTGGGAGAGCACAATATAAAGATGAAAAGGGGGAGCTCTCACAGGCTGTGCCCTCGGTTCCTTCTCCCGGCAGTCCCTGTGACAGACAAGGGTCATGTGTTCATGGCAACCTGTTTCCCAGGGTTCCCCAGATTGCAATGAACCATCTTCCTGCTCGCCTAACTGTGTGGGTAAACAAAGCCCTACGGTATGTGATTGGCACAGATCAGGGCATATCAGAAACACCCCCTTTGTGGCTGTGGTGCGGGGAGAAGGGGATGGGTGTTGGGTGGGATTCTCTGTGAAGCTTTTTCTCTTCTCCCCTAATGAAAAAGCTAGTCAGGAAGCACACAAGCCTGATACTTCTAGATAAATATGACTTCGTTTGACTCCTAGCAATCTTGTGAGGTGGGATTAAGGTCCCTCTTTTGATTTTAATTTCCAATTGTTTATTGTGACATGTAGAAGTAAAATTAATTTTTGTACGAGGGGACTTCAAAATTTTATAAAAAATAAAATGGAATTTAAGTATGAGTAGGCCAGCTCCATGGCCTGGTAGCTAGGGCAGACAGATTCCACATGACCAACTGTGCAGTTCAAATTCCGACCCTGGTGCTTAACAATTATGCCAACTGCATGTGGCTGCTGCTTCCCCAAAAGAAGCAAGGATGGAGAAATGGAGGAGGAGGGATTACAACATGATCATGTCCCATTAGGGAGGTGCCTTCTCGCCTTTGTGCTGTTTCTGTCTCTGGAGAGCACATGTGGCTTCTGACAAAATTAAAAAAAGAGAAAAAGTACTAGTTTACTTTGGTTCTAAAAATTGATGAAATCCATGCATAGTTGTCCATCATGTGCATTTTCTTTCTTTTTTTTTTTGAGAGGTTTTGGCTATAGGGCATGTGCGCTCACCAGACAGACAGAGAGAGACAGAGAGATAGAAAGCGAGAAATCACCCCCCCAGGGGGGATGGTCATGCCACAATCCCTTCTCCTCCGTTCTCCTCTTGGGCTCTTGGGCATGCATGCACATGCGCCTGGCGTGAGTTTTAAACCACCGGGTCCGGGACGCGAACCGTGGTTGACTATGTGGGAGTCCAGCAACATAGCCATTAAGCTAACTACTGGTTCCCCATCATGTGCATTTTCTGCTGATTTTTTTTCATTGCCAGAGGGTGCATGCACTCACCAAAGAAGAGAGCACCCTCCCCCCATGGGGTGTGGTCATACCACAATCCATTTTCCTCCATTCTTCCATTCCTTCAGGATTTGGGGCATGAATGCACATATGCTCAGGATGTTTTTGAAGCTGCCAAGGGCTGGGATTTGAACCACAGTTGGTCATGTAGGATCCAGCTCCCTATATATGACACTTAATTGCTGTTCTATGGGGCTTGCCCTACTCTTTTGAAGAATTTTTTTTTTTGAGAGGTTTTTGCTATAGGGCGCGTGCACTTGCCAGACAGACAGAGAGAGACAGAGAGACAGAAAGCAAGAAATCACTCCCCAGGGGGGATGGCCATGCCGCAATCCCTTCTCCTTCATTCTCCTCTTGGGATCTTGGGCATGCATGCACGCACATGCGACCGGCGTGAGTTTAAGCCACTGGGTCCGGGATCCGAACCGCGGTCAACTATGTGGGAGTCCAGCGACATAGCCATTACACTAACTGCTGGTTCCTTTTGAAGAAGTTTTTGAAAACTTCTTGTATATTAACCTCCAATTCTACAACCTGGCTAAACTTCATAATTTAGTTTAGTTTAGTTTAGTTTAGTTTAGTTTAGTTTAGTTTAGTTTTTTAAGATTTTTGCTCTAGGGTGTGTGTGCTTGCCAGAGAGAGACAGACTGACAGAATGTGAGAACTCATCCCCAGGGGAGGATGGCCACACCCTTCTCCTCCATTCTCCTTTTGGGATTTTGGGCATGCACACATGCCTGGCATGAGTTTCAAGCCACTGGGTCCAGAACTTGAATCACAGTCGACCATGTGGGAGTCCAGCGCCTTAACCACGATGCTACCTGCTGGCCCCAACTTTAAAGTTCTATAGCTTTTTGGGGGAGTCAGTTCTCAGGGTTTTCTATGAAAAAGATCATAACTTTTGGAAATAACTTTTTTCTTTCCAAATTCTAATTTATTTTTATTGTTTTATTTTCTTTTTCTCATCTTATTTATTATACTTTTTCTTTTCAATGTTTGCCTGAGGGCACATGTGCTGACCAGGATCTCCAGTGCAGGAAGGAAAAAGAGTGGCAAGAGTGCAATGGTAACACATACTGGTAGGAGCTGCTGCTTGGTAGACTGAGACCACATGGGAGACCTGGGTTGGATTCCCAGTCTATCCTAAAAGTGGGCACAGTGGTGTGTGCTGTTAGTCTCAGTCACTTAGGAGCCTGAGGCAGGAGGATCACAACATGGTGACCCTTGTCTTAAAAAATAAAAAGAGGGGCCTGCAGGGGTTAGGGGCCTGGTGTAGTGGTTAGGGACACTGGACTCCCACATGGTTGACTGCAGTTCAAGTCCTGACCCTGATGACTTGCTTTTTCACTTTGTCACTCTCTCTTTCTTTGTCCCTCTCTGGTCAAATTAAAATAAATAAAATAAATGAAGTTCAATAAAATAATAATTTTATTATTGGTAGGAGCAGACATCTTTGCCTTTTTCCTGGTCTTAGAAAGAAAACTGTCCCCATTTTATAGTTGGGAAAACTGAACCACATACATATACAACAAAAAACTCAAGGACCCCAGCTAGTCAGTGACAGTACCAAAATCAGAAACCAGGTCTTTCAGACCCTGAAGCCTGTGTGCTTTCCACTGCTCCAAGCTTCCTTGTACAGAAGTTGGGATTATATTCACTTCTTCTTTGGAGCCCTCAGTTCTCCACCCAGTCCCAGGTACATACCAGCTGCCCAGGGAATACTCACTGTGTGGTCAGAAGTGGTGGAGGCGTGAGCTGGAGAGTGACACAGGATGGTCTCCTGCCTTGCTGGGGGGTGCTCAGTGAGGTTGGGCATGGAGCCTCACCTCAGGAGGAGTGGTCTCTTGGGGACAGAGAGGGTATCTCTTGGAGGGATTTGGTTTAAGAGACTGGGGGGAAAGAGGGTGTGTTGTATTACAGCTGAATCTTTAAGAAGAAGAAGAACACATGACAGATTAAAAAAGGAAGACAGTGCTTGCTTTGACAGCACATATACTAAAACTAAAACTAATACAGAAAAAGTCAGCACAGTCCCTGTGCAAGGATGACACACAAATTCATGAAGTGTTCCATAATTTGCTTTTTTTTTTTTGAGAGTTTTTTGCTATAGGGCACGTGCGCTTGCCAGGAAGACAGAGAGAGACAGAGAGAAAGTGAGAAATCACCCCCAGGGCGGATGGCCACACCGCAATCCCTTCTCTGCCATTCTCCTCTC